TAAAATGAAGATCAATCTCAATATGTTTGGTGCGAGCATGTTGAACAGGATTAGAAGCAAGTGAGGCAACGCTCATATTATCACACCAGAGAACTGGTGTAGAATGCATTAACTTAACACCAAGCTCTTGAAACAACTGCTGCAGCCAAATAACTTCAGTGGTCGCTTGAGCAAGGGAGCGATATTCAGATTCAGCAGAGGAACGAGCAACAACATGTTGCTTTTTAGAGCTCCATTGAACTAGATTGCCACCAAGGCAAATACAATAACTGCTAGTGGAGCGACGATCATCAAGGTTACTAGCCCAATCTGCATCAGAATACCCTTCAATCATAAAAGGAATAGCAGCCTGGAGATGTAAGCCAAAGTGAAGAGAACCTTTAAGGTAACGAAGTAGACGTTTACAAGCTTGCCAGTGCTGAACCATAGGTGCCTGTAAATACTTGCTCAACTTGTTAACAGTGAAGGCAATATTAGGCCTAGTAATGGTGAGGTACTAAAGAGAACCAATGGTGCTATGATACAAAGAAGGCTCACTAAATAACTCACTATCATTCAAAGCCAGCTTATAATGAGAAACCATGGGCGTAGGGCAATCATGAGCTTTACAGAGGTTAGTTTTGCAAACTAAATCCTTAATATATTTGGCTTGAGTTAGATAAAGACCTGACTCATCACTGTAAGCCTCAATACCCAAAAAATAACTCAAAGAACCAAGAGTTTTGAGGGAAAACTTACCATTCAAATTTGAGATAAGCTGAGGATCATCACTAGTGACCAAGATATCATCCACGTAGATCAACAAATAGATAACATAAGCAGAATCTGAGAAATAAAATAGACTGGTGTCAGAGACTGCATTCCAAAAACCCCATTCGAGTAAGGCAAATTTAAGTTTATCAAACCATGCACGAGGGGCCTGTTTCAAGCCATATAATGCCTTGGATAATTTGCAAACATAACCAGGATGATTTGGATCAATAAAACTAGCCAGCTGATCCATATAAACGACTTCCTACAAATCGCCATTAAGAAAGGTGTTATTGACATCAAGTTGCTGGATATCATAGTGATGAGTTACAGCCAAGGTGAGAATCACACACATAATAACAGGTTTCACAACAAGACTGAAAGTTTCAGCAAAATCAAGACCAGGTTGTTGTTGAAATCCTTTGGCAACAAGACGATCCTTGCACCTTTGAACGGAGCCATATACATTGTATTTAACTTTGAACGCCCATTTATTTGAAACAACATGCATATCAGGAGAACGTGGAACTAAAATCCAAGTCTGATTACTTTGAAGTGCGTCAAATTTAGCTGTCATAGTAGCAAACCAGTGAGGAGAAGCAAGAGCTTCAGCAACTGAAGATGGCTAATGAGGATTTATACAAGTGGAAGCAAACAAAGCCGCTGTAGAGAAGGGACAGCGAGCTATTTGTGATCTTGTTTTCATGGCATGAAGTCTCTTAACAGTAGGAGGAGGAATATTTAATTCAATGTAAAAAGGAACTTCTAAAGGAGGAGAGGTACGTGGGGGCAGATTATGTGATGTTGGTACAGTAGATGAGACAAAAGGAGACTCATTGAGTGATGCATGTGAGGGAGTAGGTGTAATGGATAAAGGTGAAGACACAAGGCTCTTTGTAGGTGACGTATGGGAAGGGGTAGAGATAATAGGTGTAGGTGGCTTTGTATATGGAAAAGAGGTGACAATAGGCCAAAAAGAGACAGGTGCAAAACACGTTTCAGCAGAAGAGGAAGCTGTGTTTAATGTAGGACTGAGATTAGGAAAAGAGTCAAAAAAAGGAAAATAGTGTTCATTAAAGGAAACACTCTTGACAATATAGATCCTGCCAGAGGAGAGAAGACACTTATATCCCTTATGATGATTGTATGGGCGAAGATAAGGGTAGCAAGCACATCCAAATATTTTCAAAAAGGATTAGTTTGGTTTTTGGTGAAACAGAACTTCAAAAGGAGACATGTGATTTAAGGTAACAGTAGGCAGATGATTGATAAAAAAAACTGAAGTCTGAAAAGCATTCCACCATTATTTGAGTGGCATAGAACTTGAGCCAGTAATGTTAAGCCAATTTCAACCAAATGCCGATGCTTTCTCTCTGCCTTACCGTTCTGTTGATGCGTATATGGACAGGACAACCGAAAAAAAATGCCATGTTGTTTTAAGTAAGGGAAAAGAGCTTGATATTCGCCACCAGAATCTGTTTGCAAACACTTCAAGGATGTACCAAATTGACGTTCAGCAATAACATGGAATTCCATAAAAGCTAATTTTGTCTTAGACTTAGCCTTTAAAGGATAGATCCAAGTAAAATTATTGTAATCATCCACAAAATGAACATAGTATTTATAACCTTCAACAGAAGCAATGGGGGCTAGTCCCCAAACATCCAAATGTACAATTTCTAAAGGTTGCATACTCTTGCAAATTGAGCTTGGAAAATTAGTTTGACATTGTTTACCAAAATGACAAGAGGCACAAAATGAAATAGATACAGTAACTGGTTTATCAAACTGAGATAAAATTTTATGAAGAACAGCCAAATGAGGATGGCCCAATCTTTGATGCCACAAATCACCAATCTTATTACCATGTAAATGCGAGGGAGATACACAAGCAACAACAATAGTATCATCATTATTAGAAGCAGACGAACTCCATGTATTATGAGAAGAATAAGGCTGATATACAAGATGAATTGCAGGATGAAGCAGTGAGGTAGAAGCCTGTGTCAACAATGGTGGAGCTAAAGTCTGTGATGTGAACAATGGTGCTGAGAGGAAAGCTTTATGAGACATGATTCCAGGAAGATCTAGGAAATACAATCCATCTTTAAGATATCCTTGCAGAAGAATTGCTTGAGTTTTCTTATGCTTAATAAGGCAAGAGCCAAATGAGAATTCAACTATAACAGGATTATCTTGAATAAGACGAGAAATACTGATGAGATTCTTAGTAATCTTGGGAACAATTAATACTTTTCGTAAGGGTAAGACAGAACCAGAGTATGTGCAAGAACAGTATCAAGTAAATTACCATTACCTACATCCAACTTCTCAGATCCTGTGTAAGTGCCATGAGATGAAAGTTGTTGTACATCAGAGGTAATATGATCAGAGGCACCACTGTCTAAGTACCAGGAATTATCAGCAACAGTAGCTGGTGTAGCATGAAAAGCAGTGGAGGTATTAGGCACTTGGTGACATGATGAAGAGGGTGGTTGATAGGATTGTGGTGCTGGTTGATAAGTGTGAGAATATTGTAAAGAATTTTGCTAATAAGGTTGTTGATACGGTTGATAAGTTGGATAAACTGGTTGTTATGCAGAAAAGGGAGTGGCCATTGAGGGAGCAACAAAAGCTTGATGACCATTTCGTGGAGCAACAGAAAAAGATGATTGAAATGATGGTGGTGGCAAATAGTTCGAACAAGTTGTGGACCTTGGAAACTTATGTCGAACCGATGATAGCATTGCATTACAACATGGCTAGTTTTACCACATAGCTAGCAAATAGGTTTGCCACCACGAGAACCATTTTTGCCTCGACCTCTACCATTATTAGATACAGCTTGCTGACCAGGATTTTGAGGAGCAAACTGTTGTGAAAAACCATTAGAGGAAGACTGATTTGTTGCTGCATAAAGAGCTGACGAAGGCACATTTGAGCTCTGAAGATCAATAAAGTAGGCTAAAGTTTGACAAGCAAGTCTGTTCTCATAGGCTTGAAGTTCAAATTGAGCTTTTTCTAAGGTAAAGGATTCGCACTGAGAAGTGAGAGAGGTTAAATTTACCACAACAGCATCAAACTCAAGGCCAAGACCACTGAGAATATAGAGAATAAGTTCAGAATCAGAGAGCTCTGTTCTTGAAGCAGAAATTATCAGCAACATCTTTCATTTTTTGAATATAGTCATGAATAGACATTGAGCCTTTTGTAGTAGTCTGAAGTAAATGACGCTGATGCATGATCTGAGATTTTGCTTGTGTCAAATTCAGTTTATCTAAGTTGGACCAAATCTCAGATCCATTAGCACATTTTACCACATGCCACATCATATTTTCAGAAATAGAAGCAAAAAGCCAATTAATAATCAACTGATCAAGATGACACCAAGCAGCGAAAGCAGGATTTACGCAGCTGAAGGTCTTGGAAGTAGTTCCAGAGGTTATGACTTCCGGTGGTGGAGATCGAGATCCAGTCAGAAAATGTTCCAAATCAAAAGCTCGAACAACGGACAGTACTTAAGATCACCAGTACACATAGTTCTTTTGATGAAGCTTGATAGTAAACGGTGGTAAGGTTGTTGGAGACAAAGATGTTGCGGCAGCAGTAACGGCAGCGGAAGTGGAACCAGAGGTGAACTGAGGAGGAGGTGCATTGGCCTCATCTTCTTGTTTAGAAGGTGTGTGAAGTTTTTTTGGAACAAAAGTAGTGTTTGGTTGCTGAGAATCTGTGGGAAAATGGGATGGAAAATTTTCCATAGCTCTAATACCATAAAGAAATAAAACTCTGTTGTGAAGAGAAAGATTTTATTAATCTTTTCACTTAATGAAAACAGAAAGAATGTTGTCTTTTATACAGATTTCTTTTACTATGACTAACTAACTGCAGTTACAAAACTAACTCTAGTTAGTCTTTGACTTTGAAAACAATTCATCATTTAACAATACGTATAAGTAATTATTAACATGTTACTTTGAATAATACATTTTTAGAATAATTATAGGACAAGCCTTATCATATTAAAAATTCTAAAACAAGTGCAAAAGATTTCTTTCTATAAGTGCAAAAGATTTCTATACATGTCAGCATCACTTCAATCCTAGCCAAAATTGATGCATACAGTAACTGCAAAATGAGATTTCTTTCTATAAGTGCAAAAGATTTTATAATCAATAGTATATAAAATGAACATGCATCTCCCAAAATTATATTGTCCCAAAACACAAACTAGGGTTAATCTAATTAAGAAGATGTACATGAAAGAGGGTCATCAACATGTCAAAGCTTCATCAAGTTCTAGGTGTACTGTTTTGCTAGACTTGAAGCTTTCAAATCACGAGACTGATAATAAGCAAGAAAATGAGCAATTAGGAACAAGGACTTTCTCATGCAACTTTTGCAAAAAAGAGTTCTCAACATCACAAGCCTTAGGAGGGCATCAGAATGCGCACAAGCAAGAGCGAGCATTGGCAAAGAAACGACAAGAAATCAATAACGATCATCTTCGTCATATGGTTACTTTTGGATCTCCAAAATTATTATCTTATCCTTATTATCCAACTACTTCTCCACATTCATTTTATGGTTCATTGATCAATAGATCATCATCACTTATTGATAACAAACCTTCATTTCCATGGTCCTCATCGGGGTATAATCGGTTTGGCCTTCACATGAACAACACTAATAATACACAATCCTCCATTGAAAGGTTAAGGATGATGAATAGTAATAATGGTGGATTGAATGGTATTAATTTTAGGGCACCATTTCCAAGATTTAGTTGTGGTTCAACAAATATTCAAGCTCTAAATTGGTCTAAACATGGAGATTATCGTCAGCAAGGTGACCCTTCATTATCAAAGAGTTGTGATCATGAGGATTCATCAGGACTTGATTTGTCCCTCAAGCTTTAATTTATTATTGTTGCATTTTAGATTTATGATTTCATGCCACACACATTAAGTTAATAGTGTTTATTTTCTTTGATGAGGTAACTCGATTAGTTCCTCATGAATTAATTAAATGCTTATTTTAGATTTTAATTGCATTCACATGGTTGTTTATATGAGTTTGATTTTATATATAAATTTCACAAGAGAATTTAAAAATAAAAATAAAAAAAATGGAAGAAGAACGCAAAAAGAGTGAAATTGAGTTATTTGATGCACTTTGAATTTCTTTCCATGGCTGATATTTTATATATATACTTTTCTTTATTTACTACAATATACAAATATATATATCACAATCTAATTTTTAGAAGTATTTTTATTTTTTTCTCAAGGATATATATATATATATATATTTTTTTTTTTAAAAGTGAAGATATATAAGCAAGATTTGGTTGTTTCTTCAAATTTTAGATTCAATCATGGTATTAATAGATTATGATTGAAATGGCATAACCTGTTTTCTTCAAAGTTTAGAAAATTTTTGTGTAATTAAAAATTAAAAATCAAGGTATTAAATTGGATGCTTTCATGGAAATTACCTTCTCAATTTAACTACTTTGATCATCTTCAAATGATAGTTTACGGATGTCTTGTATTGCTTGCAAGGACCAGAGAATGCTCTTTGTGACTACAAGATTGCTGTTATGCCTGGGAAAATAAAGGGCTGACGTGGGAAAGTCGCGTGAAGGGTGACCTGCTCCCGTCAGAGCAACACGCACACGTCAGACCTGCTACATGATATGGAGCTCACACGCGTCCATTTCCCTACAATAAATCGTGCGAAGTCAGCTTGGGAAGAGAGCAATGGGACATAAAGCCGGATTATATCCTGACAATCACACCAACCCGTGGATTTAATGATGATTACACGCTTCAGTTTGATATAAGATGAAGAAGACCCCTTCATCAAGGGGATTCGGCCATTTTTACATTGAGAAACTCTCTCTCTCTCTCTCCTGTAAACACATTTACTTTTCATAACTCCTATGTAAGTCGGTCTGCTTTGCGACCTGACCCACACTAATATCAATACAAATCAGTGGACGTAGGACTTGCTACCTTAGCATCCGAACCACTTTAAAAGTCTTCTTTGCATTTATTTCACTTGGTATATCCCTTATCACGTGTGTTAATTCACCAATCAGTAATACGCACGTGACAATTAGTTGGTGCCAAAAACGAGCATCAACAGTTTGGCGCTAGAAGGAGGGGCTGATTTAGTGTCTACCCTTCATCAGGAGAATCTTTGACCTACTGGTCTTACAGCTACAAATGGCCCGTCAATCTGAACCTGAGCAGGTGAACCAGCATGCTGAAGGAGTCCCCCCAGCCCAGAGGGACACCCCTTCCAACATACCTCCAGTTTCACAAAATGCTGCTGGGAATACCCCAGCAGCTCCGCAACTGGACCCTGCCATCAGAAGCTACCTGGAGAGGTTCGACAATACTCTCCAGACGGTCAACCAGAGGTTGGACCGTTTGGACCAAGGCATGTCATCTACGACAGCCGGAGCGGTACAACCGCCAAAAACGCCTGCAGGTCATGCAAAGGAGCGGCAAAGGGCGATAGTGGTGAGTGCATCAGCTTTAGCATCTAATCTTGTCCAACATGCTAAAACAAAGCATATAGAAATAGACATTCATTTTATCAGAGAAAAAGTGAAAATACGGAGCTGGAAGTTTGATATTTACACAAAACCATTACCTGTCACTCAATTTGACTACTTCAATGATGAATTGATCAAACCTTCCATTCTGTTTAGCTTACGGGAGGATACTTAAGAAACTTCAACTGCAATTTCAAATTAAATTCTTTGATTGATGATATATAATTTGTTATGTGCTCAAGCAGAGAAGATCATATGGTTCAAAGTCATATTGGTAAGCTACCTAGTTTACCTTACGGGAGGATGTTATTCTGATTATGTTCAAGCAGATCAGCCATCTTTCAGCTACCTTGTTCTGCTCGCGGGAGGATATTGGAGAGTTCATTTGCACTAAAAGCTTTTACTTCTATTGCTCATGTTCAAGTTAGCAAAACTTGTAAGGAGTTTTGTCAAAGTCAATGAAAAATTACTTTTAGTTTGTTTTAGCAAGTGGTGCCAGCTCATTGTACTCTCTAACTTTGTCTTTGGATATAAGGCAGCAGTTACTTTTTGTAAGTGATTAAGTCCTTCAGTCAATAAAATTCAGTTTTCTGGAATTGTTACTTTGCTTTTGAGTTGATATGCAGGCCTTTGACTGTCTTGTTCCCATAATTAGATACCATCTAGTCCTGGGTGATAGCTCTTTCATCCTCGTTACAAAATCATAATTTTAAATATTATCATCAACTCGACCATGAATTTAATATATTAGTTTACTGAACACTTTTTGGATTATAAATTGGGAAATAAGTAATTACCGGAGAAGGTGCAACAACCACAAACTCAGCCTTAATTAAATTGTAATCATGTTTACTTACCAATAAATTCCACAAAATGTAGTTTGGCTAAATTCTTGTAGCCACAAAATCACATAATAATTGTCCACTTTTATAACCCCCAAATCTAGGTTTTATTAGAATAAATTCATAAATGAAAGTTACAAACAAAATACATAAAACTTATAAATACACTTAAACAATGCAGTATAATAGCCAAAGCCCACAAATATTCTTTATTCTACAGTTCTACCAAATTATAAATCAACTAAAAGAACATTATATTCTTTTATTTTTATTTTAATATCATTATCAGGTTTACTATGTTACCAGATCGACAACAAATTCCATTTGCAGAATCTATGGAGGAGCTTTCTTCTCACTCAAATACTTCCCAATGGCTTCTGCAAGTGCTTCCACTACCTCGGTGTTTACTATAGAAGCAAGATTTGCATCATAAACTTATACTCTATTGCTGGTAGAAGCAAGTTTTGCATCATCAACCTTATACTCTATTGCTGATCTTATAATACTTGATGTAGAATTTTTCTCAAATATTTCAAAGTGACCTATATAAAGACTGAACCCAAGTGCCAAAAACCCTCATTCAATGGTTTGTGTTTCCTTCACATGCTTCTTATTATCAACCGTATAAATATTTCTTTCATTTATCTAGCTCTAGGAGTTCCTTACAACAACAACAACAACAACAAAAAAAAAACAAAAAAAACAAAAACAAAAATCAGAATATTTAATATTTAGGACTTAATGATTCAGTAGCTCAAAATGCTTGATAAATTGATATTAATTTACCTGGTGGAAATGTAATGTTTATAATTGTGCCAACTCTTCCATCACCTTCAAGTACTTGTACTGTTCCTATAACTTCCGGCAGATATGTATTTATAACTGTGACGAGCTGAAGGCTGCGGTAGACATCCCACACCGAACAAGCTGGCGCAGCAAGCACCGTATCCACTGAAAGCAGGCCGTGCATTTCGATGCTATTTGGCTTTTTTTTTTTTTTTTTTATTATTTATTTATTTATTTATGGGCTGGTTCATTGTTGTGGTAGTATTTATAATGGTTTATTTGAAGAGAGATTCAATAGATGTGAATGGGAAAAAGTCAAAGGTTTGACTTCTAGGGGACAATAGGATTTCGATGGCTTAACGCTAAATCAAATTAAATATGACAACTTGTCCCACAATTTAAAATAAAAGTGGTTTAAGGAATTTTAAATAAATACTTTAATTCATTTCAATTTTTAAATTAGAATGATATAAATCCAAATTTGATTAGGTCAAATGCAAATGCTAAAAGTATCAAAACGTTTATATATTCTACAAGACACTTGGTGGCTAGATAAGTATGATTTTTGGTGATCTATTATTTTAATCGGTTATTCGGTTGTCCCAAAAATTAATATATAGTTTAATTCATATCTTTTTTCAAAAATAGAAAACTTAATATCAAGTGTAACGTTATTAATATCAAAGTTCATTAAAGTTTTATTGTAAGTATGGCATTAAATGTTTTAAGTTATAAATACTATTTATAAGTTTCAAGTGTGATTTTTTAAGCATACAACTCAATGTTTTAAGTCTCACGTTCTCTAGATTAAAAGGAGTGGCAAAAAATGGATTTTCACTCTAAACCAGTTTTTTTCATCAACATTATTCTTACTTTCCACATATAAGTAGTACTATATTTATAACTTTTTTATACAATGCTGATGTGAGAGCTCATGACTTATCAGTTTACAGTAAATCTCATTTGTCTACATACGAGTTGATCAATTGCAATCTACCACATCAGGATTGTATAAAAAAATTAGATGAAAAAGTTGTTAATGTAGTTTAATTATTCATATATATACCAGATCTCATTTTTTATTCTATTAGATGTGAAGTTTAATTTCTTTTTTTCTTTTATATAAAGGTTTTATAAACATATACAAATAAATATTAATTATTGTATTAGCAAAAAAAAAAAAAATATATATATATATATATATATATATACAATTGTTATCGTGTCATGCAGTATTTACAAATTTTTTAGCATCCGCCATTGGAGCATATGTGATTAAATAGCCTGTATAAAAATATTCATCTGATTTTTAAAGTTAAAAATTCAAGTTAGTAATTATAAAATATTTTTTAGTCAACCATGAATTGATGTGCAGGCCTTAATCTCTTATTAATTTTTTTTTTTTCTTACATATATTTAGAGCAAGCCGTAGGCATCCCACACCGAACAAGCCGATTCAGCCACCACCGTATTCGCTGCAACAAGGTCGTGCATTTTGATGTTATGAATTTGTTTTTCTCATGGGTTGGCTCATTATTGTGGTAGATATTTATAATAGTTTATTTGAAGAAAGAGTCAATAGATCTAAATGGGAAAGAGCCAATGTTGTTTATAAACTATCATTTTAGAATTCGAAAGGCAATATCTAGTAGTAGCCAAGAATTTTCCGCTCTCAGACTAGACTTTTTGTTTGTTTCAAGGATAAAACAGTTGCCTCATCAAAGAC